TGTATCAAATGCCCTTTGTAGATCTAAAAGTATCATGCAATACTGCCTTTGTACATTTCAAATAATGCAATCTGTTAAATGAATCAAACATGTGTCAATTGAAAAACCACTTCTAAACCCTGACTGAAACTGCCTGACCATGACTCAAACCATGACTTTCAGAAGACCAACTGAGCTATCCGTCCTGCTACACATTTTCTCTTAATAATGAAACAGTTCTAAACCACAACATATTTCCCCACTATATCGATTTGTGTTCGTGAATTTCTTATGTTACAGAGCATAGGAAATTGAACTCATGCTTATATGCAGTCATAGGATGAGAAAAACTTTGAGCTTGACCAGAACTCATTAACCTGTGACCAACATAAGAAAATTTTATGAAGGCTGATTTGTATTTTGCATCAAGGGCACCGGGCAAAAACATGAAAATGCAACAAACAAACCACTTTGTGGTAGATTGTATTTTCATGTTTTCATCTGGCGCCCAGTTACTTTTTGTACTATGTTGGTTTTCATGTGGCACAAATCACCCACTATAAATTTAGTGCACAAATTTATTCAAGGGCAAGTAACAATCTACTCTATGTACAGTCTGTTGTCGCGTTGACTCAGGAGACCTGGAGGTTGAGACCGGTGTCTCTTCATTACAAATAGATAAGACAGAAGCTGTCCTTTTCAAACTATGCACATGTTAGAAAAAAATAGAATAACTATTCAGAATATGATTTTTGAGACTTTATTAATTATATTGCTTGATCCAAGTTTAAGGACATTTTCAATCAATACATGTTTTATCATTTATAACTTTAAATGAAAGTCTCATCCTTTAATAATAATGACATAACTGTATCTCTTTAAATGCAGAAAAATTATAAGTCTCACATATCAATATACTACTGTCTAAGATATACATGTACATGCACATAACATTAATAATTCCCAGTTTATATTAAATAAATATGAAATCCTAACATTAACATTAACATGCTTTTGATGACCTTACAACTGGTGAATTATATACAACAAAAATAGTATTATAAGTAATACCTAAGATAGACAGAAAAGAACAAATAATTTAGTAAACATAAGTTACTTCCCCTTAAAATAAAGAAAACCTGAAACCCAAAAGAACACGATAAACAGCAAAAATTATGAAATGTTGCAGGTTCAATTTTATCAAGCCATGCAAATTAATGGTAAAGTATTCATAAAAAAAATAGATGGCCATGTGTCAGCAGTAAATTGCAGAAAATCGGATAGCTTTCAACATCCGGATACTGGTACACTTTGTAAAAACAACCATTCTGCGCAACAGATAAATGTAATAGGGATAAAATCAATAGGATAATCGTTTACAACAGTTTCATTACCTATCCTTATACTCAATTGCAGGTGAACTTTCTTCTTGTAGGAAAATTTTGAAAATGTATAAATGATACGGCCTCAATCTAGACCACAACGATATTCGAAATCCGGGTTTTAGTATTGTCATTAAAACTAAGGGACAAGCTGTTAAACTTAACCCGCAATTTCGTGAAAATAATATCACAATGCACATGCTTTTTACATAAAGTTATTAAATACAAATATAACAACACATTTGTTTACTTGATTTTTACGAATCAAAATAAAACTAATTTACACAACATGAAATTAACTGCTAATAATAACAGCTCCTTCCATAGGCAAAAATAAAAAGCGTTCCATAATAGACGACGCCGCTCACCGGCGTCGCCAATTAATAGTTCTTTGGAAAAAAAACATTAACTGCATTTTATTTCATCCCCATCATATTTAAAAGGGGCTCAATAATTATGGCATCAAAATTTATCAAGTAAATGACTGACAGAACGGGATATTTTTCGCAGCATCTTTTAATTTTACAATTTATGTACTAGAGTACTTTGTTTTATGAACACAATTTTTAGATATAATTAATGAAACTTTTATCACTTAAGCAACAAACAAATTATCGACCTTCATCTTGAACTCCACCTTAACTATTTCAATGTCGCAGAACGAAAATAAGTCAGTACTTAGTATTTTAGCAGAACCTCTGGAACCCCAAGTTCGTTGATATGTAGCATATTAACGCACTTTTGGGTCAATTTCTCGATTTTGACTCCAAAGTGCGTTGGAGCCCAAAGTGCGATGCGAAGTTTAACGCACTTTGGAGTCGGAGCCCAAAGTGCGTTGGACCCCAAAGTGCAGTGTTACAAGGGTCATTATGGCAAGAGTTTGGTCATCATGCAAGTTCACAAAAAATACTTGCGTTAATATTATTCACAAAAATAAATAACTTAAACTGCAATAAAATTTAAAATTACACTTTGTCATAAATAGGATTTATTATCATGCTCTCTAAGAACATCAGATATTTCTTTTGAATGACAGGTATTTGTTTACATTGACAACTGTTCGTTTCTTAGAAAGGTCGACAACCAAGATAAGCGGCGATGTTTAGAAGCCTTTAAAAATCAATTGACCACTGGTGATAAGAATATGTTAAATGAAAATTTATACTAAAAAGGTATTGGATTTAAAGACCATCGTCGACCACTGGAAAAGATAAGACATTTTCTTGAAGATTTTTCAAGGCTTCACATACAATTCAACTTATAAAAAATGAGCGAATTTGATTTCAAAATAAAATCATGATCCGAGTTCTAATCTGTATTTCACAAAAAAACTTAATAATTTGAGGAAGAGGTCTGTTTAATTTGTATATGTATGAAACCTTTACAAAAAGATTGCAGCGTTTAGGATAACAAGAATTGCCAACATGGCATGGCCGAGTGGTTAACGCGCCGGATTAGTAATCTATTGGCCGCTAGCCTCATGGGTTCCAACCCCGTCATGGGTAAGTCGTTGTTTCTTTGCGCAAGAACTTTACATTCATTGCCTTGTACTATTGTGTTCGAAACGAATACGAAAGTTTTAAGCTTCCTACACAAATCAAATTTAATCTTTTCCCTCATATAGACGTGTTTTGACGGCTTTTCGCCCCCCCCCTTTTTGAGGCCTCGAACAGTGAAAACAATGCCCTATTAAGGCCCCACTGGTTTTCGTTATTAAAAAAGTGACCACTTTTTCGGCGCCGCCCCAACTGAAATGTTACATCAGTGGGTTGCCAGAAGGGGCATATGCCCCCTTTTGTTTGCAGGGTTTGAAGGGGACAATAGTCCCCCTCATCGCCAAAAATTTTTTGGACATGTGACCGGCTAAAAATAGCCTCAGGTAAATCTTAGGGTAAATAGTAACCGACGCTTAAAAGCCTTTTACTCTAACTCAATTGATTGAGAAGTTGCAGCACTTTGAAATCAGGATTGATGGAAAAAAATACAATGCAAAATAGTGAGTTTTGGCAATTTTGAGACGTCCCCCCGTTGCCATGGTAACAGGAAATTTACGATTGAGCATGCTGTTACAGGGGCTATGGTTTAGTAAACATTTGTGCAAAGTTTCATCAGTATTGAAGCATTTTTCATAGTTTCATAGCAGTTTGAACTTGTTACAGGAGGCTTTTCAATGAAAACGGCCATTTTTCGCAATATGCTCATGGGGCAAAATGTTAAATAAATTATCTATAACATGTAAAAACCGACCTTCAGTATGTCATTTTAGTTGCAGAAAAAAACATTGTCAGTACATACGAAAGTACGAAAGACTGGTGGTGACATTTCAAGTTCACGAATTCATGATTTTAAGATTTTAATATTTCATTATTTTTCATGAATTCGCGATTTCATAATTTCACGATTTCTCTTAAAAAACCTGAATGAATGAAATAATGAAATCGTGAAATAAAGAAATCGTGAATTTATGAATAATATTTTTTTATTTCACTTTAAAAAGAAATAAAATCGTAAATTCGTAAATTCATGATTTCACTATTTCATTTATTCAGGTTCTTTTTTTAGAGAAATCGTGAAATTATGATTTACAAATTCACGATTTCAAAATTCAATATTTCACTCTAAAAGTAGTGCAATATTAAAATCTTGAAATATGAATTCGTGAACGTGAAATGTCACCACCGGTCTTTCGTAGTATATCAATTTATTTTGTTCTCACGGTTCTCCCTTTGCTTTATTCTGATCTTTAAACAACATATGTTATGCATTAACAACATACTGGAAAATCATCTAAAAGTTAATTATACCCCGGCCATTTCATTAATTGAGGTAAAATAACCATTATAGTTAGTTGTTTCTGCTGATTGTTTCTAAGATAAAATTGGACTATAGCGAGATAAGGTAAATCACAACTGTGTCCTCATTGAAAAATGAATAATTTACGGGAAAAAAAAAACAAAAAGAAAAAGAAAAAAAAAACAACAACAAAAAAAAACAAACAAAACAAATAATATATGAGTTGTTTTTAAAGTTACCCTTGTATTTTGAATGCAAAATCTATTAGCTAAACAAACAAAAATTGGCAACAAGAACATTTGTGTGTGTGTGTGTTTGTGTGTGTGTGCGCGCGAGTGCGTGCTTGCGTGCATGTGTGTGTGCGTGCGTGCTTGTGTGTGTGTTTCCGTTGGTTGCATTTGTGATAGAGACAAATACATTTTTAGTAAATAACATGCCATATGAAATAAACATTTCATGAATAATAAACATTTCATGAATCTTTTAAAGCCATTTAATATAAGATTACAGTATCAGCAGATGAGGGAGCAGATAATATTGCCGCGAATGATATGAGCCGCGTCACGACAAAACCAACATAGTGCGTTTGCGACCAGCATGGATCCAGACCAGCCTGCGCATCCTCACAGCCTGATCAGGATCCATGCTGTTCGCTATTAGTTTATCTACTTGTAATAGGGTTTGTAAGCGAACAGCATGGATCCTGATCAGACTGCGTGGATGCGCAGGCTGGTCTGGATCCATGCTGGTCACAAACGCACTATGTTTGTTTTGTCGTGACGCGGCTCATTATTATTTGCTGAGGTTCACACGATTCCTATGACATATGTGTCATTAATTGTAAATTTCTATGAAATTACAATCATTAACTGTAGCACAAGCACGTGAATTTTTGCTGCCATTTTCATGAACGTTTATAAATGTGGAGAAAAATAGTTGATAAGACCAGATAACTTGAAAATCTCGCATATGTGATTTTGTCTGCTATAGTGAAGAGAAATACAATTCATAGAAAAATAAAATGGATGTAAAAGTCTACGTAATTTTATTCATGGTCAGTTTCATTGATTTAGGATCGTGTTGTGAGTATTTTGTAAAAATTAACAAATTTGACTGCTCATTGTCTGTCCAGAGTATATACGTATTATGTAATATATTTCCTTATATTATATAAAATGGAAGTGTACATGTTTCATTATGAATTAAATATAGCATGTCCCCGTTTCTTAAATGAAATGAGCCGCGTCACGACAAAACCAACATAGTGCATTTGCGACCAGCATGGATCCAGACCAGCCTGCGCATCCGCGCAGTCTGATCAGGATCCATGCTGTTCGCTTACAGACCCTATAACAAGTAAAGAAACTGATACGGATGCGCAGGCTGGTCTGGATCCATGCTGGTCGCAAACCATTATGTTGGTTTTGTCATGACGCGGCTCAAATGTTATTCAATAGTAAAATGCATATATAACTTTATTCCGTGCAGATATTAATAGTAAAAAATATGATAAGAAGTAGCTAATTTTGATTTCAAACAAACTGTTTGGTTGAGATACCATTACAGTAGCTAATCTGACACAAGTCTTACGCATGTTATTGTCAGATATTGACCATGAATTTAAGAGTTTAATAGCATTTTTTATAATAAAAACGCAATGATTTATTTGATAAAGAGAATCCGTACGTGCTGTCACCGCTGATTTAGAAATCACAAGGAATTGGTAGTCGACACTTGCGGAGAAATATGACGTCACTGGTTTGTTATCCCGAAAAGCCGGCTAGGTGGATCGACAAAACGGCAAAACCACATAATGCGTTTGCGACCAGCATGGATCCAGACCAGCCTGCGCGTCCGCGCAGTCTGATCAGGATCCATGCTGTTCGCTTACAAAATCTATAACAAATAGAGAAACTGATAGCGAACAGCGTGGATCCTGATCAGACTGCGCGGATGCGCAGGCTGGTCTGGATCCATGCTGGTCGCAAACGCATAACGTTGGTTTTATCGTGACGCGGCTCAAATAAATAAAAATTTTGAAAAATCATCATTTAAATTCAGTCGACGGTGAATAACAACAGTTTGTGCCTAAGTCTGCATAGGTAATCTTCTCAGCATGTATTTTATTTATGTATGTTACACATTCTTGCAATTTACAGATGTATTGCAAGGTTTAGAATTTGTTTGAAAGAATTCCCTGAAAATCTAGCAATGTGCTTGTTAAAATAACTGTGGCACTGAGGTGACATTTTCAAGGTTTTATATGTCTAATTAATGCGCACGAAAGCTAATTGTTCGCACAAGATACTTATTCATGCACATGAGATACTTATAATGAGCATGTCGTTCATAAAATATAGTTATGTCATGTGCACGAGTTAAAAGTCGTGCTTACAAGTATTAAATGATTAGGTATTATATTGTTGCTAACGCTAACCCGACTAAGTTATCTTGTATGCACGACAAAGTAACTCTAGCGCATGACATACTAACTCGCACGCACGACAAAGCATCTCGTGATTACGTATGTACAAGATGAATAAAAACATTCCCATGTCACCTCTATGCCACCGTACAAACACTTCAATAAGATAACAAATAATAATCATATATTCACCGACTTAACTTCATAGCAGCAACGTTTTAAAGTTTTCGGTGGAACATAGTGCGATTTATGTGCTGCTTACATGTGTTTAACTTAATACACTAATATCATAAACGATCGGGACAAGGTCCAAGCAGTTAAGGTCGCCGATTTAAATCACTTGGCCCCTGACACTGATTCTTATCAGGTGCCTGTCTCTTTGGTTGCATATTTCTGCCACCAGATAACCTGATTATTAAGCTGGTAAAATGATAAAATGATGGCAGTTGTCGGCACTAACATGCATTTATTTCCCGTTATGATCTTTTATTTATTGAAAAAAAAAACTAGTTACGTAACTAGTTAACCTGATAACTAACTAGGTAATTAAGAGGTTAACTAGTTACGTAACTAGTTAACGTCTTAATTAACTAGTTAGTTATCAGGTTATCTGGTGGCAGAAATATGCCACCATATGTCTCCCCCAAACACCACTATATAAGTTGAAAAGTCGCCGTGATAATAGATAAATTTTCATCTGCGACCCCAACAAGCGAAAAGTCGAGAATTTACGAGTTAAAATGGCGGGGCGCAAAGCGAAAACACAATTATTAGCAAGGGCGCGGAATGAAGTTTGATAAATGAAACTTCACCCCATGGGGCGCGGAGCGAGATTTAAACACGATGAGCGGGCGCTATTAGCGTATTTTCGCTCCGCGCCCCGCCGTTTTATTTCTTAAACCTCGCTCCGCAACCGCGCAGGGCGACGTTTTCTTTATTTAACTTTGCCCCGCGCCCCCGCCATTTTAACTTGTTCATTCTCGACTTTTCGCTTAGCGGGGTCGCGTGGCGAAAACACGAATGGCACAGTTCAGCCACCATAAGTTTGTTTTTTAATATCGAATTATTTAAAAAGTTATTTCATAATTTGTGGCACATCAATGCATTTTTATTTGAAATGAACTCGTATAATGCAATTATAATATAATATATATATTAGGATTTCAATTCTAATAAGCTGAAATTCTGATAGACAAAAAAAAAATTGAACTGAAACATGAAAAATCACGAAAGTCAGTTTTATAAATGTATTGTTGTTATGGATATATTTAGCTTACCATTTTGAATAATGATCTTATTCTTCCTCTTTTATTTTTGAGATGTAACAATAACGGGTTCTCAGTATGTAAACCAGACTGATGACATACATTTAGTGTGTAAAGCAAATGGTATAGAAAGAGCACCAGAAACTGTTGACTGGTTTTTCAAAGGCGAAAGAATCACTATTTCAAGTCTGCAATGGAAAACACGAGTGGAGATAGTAGAAAGCTGGTTCCCCAAAGAACGTTCATATGTTAGTGAATTAACAATACATCGTAGTACAGTTGGGGATCAAGGAGTCTATATCTGTCGGAGTTCTGATTTAGATATTGCGAGTATGACAGTTCATGTCTCTAATGGTAAGTGGAATTACAATGCTTGCCCACCAAAATATTAATGAGAACTATAGACATATGAACTCCACTGAGTTTCAAAAGCAAAGAAAAACAAGTACCATAAAATCTTTAATTCTTACATAGACCAACTAGGGCACTTAAACAGGTAGACATGCAAAATATATAGAAATAGACGCAGATATATATTAACAATCGTATTTTGTTTAGCCCGATTTGAGTGTAAAGCGTTGAACATTTTCTATTTTCGGTCATTTTTCACAAGTGAAATTATAATTCTGAAAACAAAACCGAGTAAGCGAATTATCTGAAGTTATGCACAACAGTTACTGATGTAGACATACATCAATAAAAAAAATAATTTCCAGTCCCGTCTTGTCAAAAAGAAACTCAGTGGAGCCCCTTAAATGGTTCTGTAAAAACGAAAACTAGAAAACAATTTTATGTATCTAAATACGTCTTAAGTCTATATTTTACTCCATATTACCTTTTTCAAAAACTCAAAGCTAGGCTTGAGATAATGATTGGAAATGTCGTATTAAAGTGAGTTAATAACAATTCCAGTAAAAACAAAAAAATGCAAATTGTATAATGCTTTCTTCTATTTACGTTGATTATATTTATGCACATAGTCTCAAAAAACAAAACATTCAACGTATTACATGAATTTACTTTTGTTTAGTTTGTTATTGCAGCAAATACATGTAAAATAAAATACAAACCATAAGTATTCATAACAAATGCAAATTGGTTGAGCAACATTAGATTACGCCTTTTTCCCTTTAAGCTTGATATCTTTATTTCCTTTCATATTATGATACACGACATTATTATAGAAGTAAATATCATTGGTGTATTTAATTGTAAATATCAATGTGAATCTATGAAAGCAATAAGAGAACTTTTGATACTTATTTTTAGCAGGTAATAATGCAGGCACAAAAACACGCGGTAAGTAAGCTACATTTTTATCCAAAATCAGACGGTTCAGCGGTAAGTGACAAACACAACAGTGCTTGCCGACCAAAATGATAATGAAAAATGTATTATATACATTCTTAGTGCTTCTGTTAAAGAAAAAAGCTAGTCAGTTCACATTACTTTTCTCAGGTAAACAATTTGTTTTATCACCGCAGTAAAATGTGATATTCATATAAATTAATGTTGTCATGTTATCTTCTAAATAGGGATTGTATATTTTTTCCTCATATTTTCAAAAAACGAAGGATTTTAACGTAGTACAAGAATTCATCTTTTTGACTTGATATATTTTTTTAAAACGATTTTCATTTATTTTATAAAATACAACATTTAAATCAATATAAATTTCATTTTTTTTAAAATGTATTTCAATGAGAGTAACATAAAAAAAAAACAAGAACAACAACAAAAACCTAGAAACATATCATTTTATTGTGAAGAACAAATGTTTATCTAAAGCTGACATATGAAGTTGACCTTTGAATGTTAGAAGTGAAACCTGCGCCAGGTAACATTGGTGTATTCATTCACCTCTTTAATTCAACATAATAAGTCGTGCTTTTTATGCCACCGCAGCATCTGCGATGCGGTGGCATAAAGTGTTTGTGTGCGTGTGCGTATGTGCGCATGTATGTGTGTATGTTTGTGTGTTATATATGTAGATTATATAGTGAAAACCTTCTTGTGAAAAACCACTAGTCCTATGTAAACCAAACTTGGCAGGGTTGATCCTTGGGTAAAGGGCTTACAAAGATGTTTAAGGAATTTCATTCCATGCAGAAGCCTGGTTACCATGGCAACCAAAAGGAATTATAAGAATAAATTTAAAAAATCTTTTTGTAAAGACCCACAAGGCCTAGAGCATAGATATTTTGCTTAAGGCATTGTTCAAATTATAGCCCTTGGGTCAAGATTGGCCCCGCACCAGGGGTTATTAATTTTCACTATATGTACATGTCTGAAGGTTCAAGGCTTAAAGCTTTGATATTTGGTATACGATATCATCTATATGTATCCATATCATCAGTTAAAAATGCTGTTAACATCGGTTTTAATTTCAGCCTGTAGATTAAAATATCCCAATCGAACTCGAGCCAAATGGTTGTTTTAGTAAGCACATCTGTTGCTTCGGATATAAATGAAAACCCTGTGATATGACCAAAATATAGTTTGATTAAGTCGTGTAATGAGTAAAACTTGCTTTATACGTTAAAGGTATAGGAAGAAAATGATACAGGGGATTTTAAAGTGGTTGCTTAAGACAAAAAACGGCTTAATGCACGTGGTCGCTTGGCACGTTAGACTATATTTCACTCATAAACATTCATAAATACTAGGAAATCACTGTGGAATTTAAAAACAAATTGAAAACTTATATGTATATTTTATTTTTACAGCCCCAGACTCAGCTCCCAGAGATCTAACACCAATACCCGTCGAGAATGACCCCCTGTCTGTGACGCTGACATGGCAGCCCCCTCTAAAGTCCAACGGACAAATATTAGGTAGGTGTAACTGTAACTATGGCAATATTTCTGCTTTCCATTAAGACTATAGTAGCGCAGGAATTGTAAATATATGATTTTGCTTTTGGTGACAGGGTTAACATTTTTATTTAAAGTGAAGTGCATAACAAGTGTAACTCTAGAGAATAAAATCATGGTAGATACAACTGTTTAGCTTTTAATTTGTTGCATACTGTTTGTGAGACAGTTACTTGTTTAGATAATGCTTTATTAATGAATCAAAGAGAGAAAAAGATAAATCATTGAAGTCTATGAATAAACATAGCCTTATTAAACAAAAGGCTAAACTCAAGGTAACAAATATAATTTGAGATTTACCTAATATAATTTGAAATATGTCTGGAATATTTGTAAGTTATTACATATTAATTGTGCAGTTCAAGACATAAGTAGTAACACTATTCGCTAATTGAAGTCTTAAATTATGACTTTTCTTTTTTCTTTGGATTTTTTTTCTGCTTCTAGATAGGTTTTTTGAACTTTGACCTAGATTTATGACCCGGATATCTATGCATGATGAATAAGCATGGAAAGCTTTTGCTAACGATTTTAGCAGATTTACTACTTGCTGTTTTGATCGACATAGTCTTTGTCACAGTTCTCAGTGATTGATCCTTCAATATAAGTAATTGAGTCACATTTCTCAGTGATTAATGCTTCAGTATAAGTAAAAAATTGTGTCACATTTCTTAGCGATTAATGCTTCAGTATAAGTGATTAATTTTGTCACATTTCTCAGTGATAAATGTTTCAATATAAGTGATTCATTATGTCACATTTATCAGTGATTAATGCTTCAGTAAAATAGATTAATTGTGTCACATTTCTCAGTGATTCATGCTTCAGTATAAGTGATTAATTATGTCACAATTTTCAGTGATTAATATTTCAGTATAAGCGATTAATTGTGTCACATTTGTTTGTGATTAATGCTTCAATATAAGTGATTGATTATGTCACATTTATCAGTCATTTATTGGCAGTTACACGTCATAATTCAGCGTGATTAATTTTAAATATTAGCGATTTTTTCCTAATCTTAAGTGATTCATATGATGTAAGTGATTAATTATGTCACATTTTACAGTGATGAATGCTTCAATATAAGTGATTATTTCTATCACATTTCACAGTGATTAATGGTTCAGTATACATGTATCTGATTAATTATGTCACATCCCTCACGCCCCTAGCATCGGCTTGAGCGATACTCAATTCTCAACACTTAATACTGCTGGCATCAATGATCCCGATGGACAAGTAAGATATAACAACTCTGAAGTAAATTACGGGACTTTTTACAGCTGCCACACAGCACTTGACACCTGCTGTTGAGAAGTATAAACATCTGGAAACAAAATGATCCCTCGGAAGCAATAATCACAAAATAAATTACAAGAGAATTGCAAATTCGGTTTGATTGAGTCTGTACATGAGGGATACTGAATAAGTGCAGCATCCCTCACGCCCCTAGCACAGTCTTGTGCAGTACTCAATTCTCAACACTTAAAAGTGCTAACATCAATGATCATATGATCACTTATACTGAAGCACTGTTTTTCACAGTTCTTTTTGCATTAGCTTTTTTCATCTTTATAATTGTAACAAGGTGTATTTTTAGGGTAATCTGTGTTTTGAGATGTTCCCCAGCTTTCCTGTGTTTTAGTCCATATTGTTTATGTAAGAGTGCTTTCCCCTTGACTTTGGCGGGAATTTGTACGTGTCTCGTGAATCTCGTTTTCATTTCGTTCAGTGCGTTGGTTGGTAGCCATTGAGAGAGGAAGGTCTCTCTGTTCAGAAGTTGTGATGTTTTTTTACACTTTAACATGTTTCTTTTTGGTTGGAAACAGTTCATCTTTGTATAAGGTAACTATTGCAATGGCTGAAGTAATTTATTAAAGAATTATTCTTTGTTATTTTGGCTAAGTAATGTACATGTTTCATTTCGAAGATAAATCCAAGATGGCTACTACTTTCAACTTTTAATCCTAATTATGCTATCTTTTACTTATCTCAACTAATTTGCATGTATATAATAATTAATGCATTGTTCTTCACAGCAGCACTCGGTGAGATTCATTTGTGTGGATTTGTGTGGATGATGGCGTATATCTTATTTGTGTAAAAGGGCTAAAGATCCTACAGATCTGTAAGTTGATATTTTATTATCTATGAAAGTAATGCTTTATATATATTAGGTACTTTGATGAATTATTGAATTCTAATAACTTTTGCATTGTTATAAATAAATGTAAGCACAGGGACCACTGTATCATTGAGGTAATGGACTGCTATGATTAAGAACTATGAACTTAGCTATGAACTATGTTTTTGATATAATTGGAGATGTATAAATAGCTGTGGATTTGAACCACAAGTTAGTTTGGGTATTTTACCTACTCCAGGTAAAATGTATATTTATTATGAATGATATAAAAGAGAGATAACTCTTTATATGACTTATAAGAATCTCCAATCATTTGGTAAGGATTGTTACTATTTACTATTTCAGTGCCTACCTTGTTCACATGCTTATATGATTACGTAGACTGATGGTTGGTTTACAAGATGTACCGGTATACTTTGTGAATATGTCAGATGAACTGTTGTAAATAATGTAAAGATTTGGTTTGTCAATAAACTACATATGATCGAACCTGAAGAGAAGATTTTGTATATATTGATACCCCTGAAGAGATACCCAAAATTACAATGGAGCCCCCAGTGATGTAGTTAACTAGCGACAAGATCCAGATCGAAGATTGACAACATTGACTTTTATAAACTGTTACAGAAGTGATATTTGTATTAAGTGATTCATTTTGGACACTGAAAGGAGTTGTATTATTTTGTAATGCAACGGTGAATTGAATTTAGTCTACAACTAACAAAAAATTATTATTTTAAGTACTGTAAAGACTATATTTTATAAACAAAATGTTTTAAGTAATCCAACACTTCACAGCAAACATTTTTTTATAGAAGATTAATTAATAATTTTCATAAATATTGATAAATATTTGTGCTATGCAAATTTGACATGTCTTTAGTGTAGGAAAGATTAATCAACCTTTGACAGAGGACACTTTTCGAGACTTGGAACACATCTGGTTAGAAGATCATCAACAGAGGATTATTTGTAAAGTGACAGTGTGTAAAGACATTGACTGTGGTTAGATAAGCAGTGGTCCTCTCTGTGCAACTGTAGTCCAATAGATTAGACGTTACAGGCTTGTTATAGTTTTATGTTGGTCAAGCCTGACGTCTAATAGTTATTGCTCAAAAACGCGTAGCATTTTGAAAATTTAAAAAAATGTCTGTTGACTTGCCTTTCAAGCTTTATTCAAAAGCTTATCTTCTGTTTTTTTTCAAAATGCATGGTCTATCATTAACAAAAACTTTCAAACAATGTACTTATCAATTAAAAATAAAATATACGTATCAGTCTATTTTCGCTCATCGGCCATACTGGTTAAGTAAAGCGTTTTACAGATTGATTCCAATTTTTTTGAACGGAAAAATATATTCGAACACACTGACGGTGCATGGGCAATTATTTCGTTGAAAAAATATTCCGTTAGAAACTTCTGGACTCATTTAAAAACGCTTGCATTTGAATTAGCCAATCAGATTTCGCGCACTGTATGGCGGCCATTTGTATATTGGCTGTACAAGGAATTTAATTTAAATGAGAGGATTTAATCATGACTTTTCGGATGTGACAGTTCAATTATTTTGTTAAAAGGTATTTATTTTTTAGTTTTGTTCATAAATAGGTCAAAATTAATGTGAATACACGCTGTTTTTAATTGTTTAAATTCAATTAGATCTAAATCGATGTCTAATGTCAATTTTTTTTGCTACACGATTTTGCAAAGATCTGTTAAGACCTAACGTAACATGGAAAATGAAAAAATGTAAAATATCAGAATTAAATGAATGATAAATATGAAATAGAGTTACGTATAGGTCTTATAATTAGGACTATGTGCAACTGTAGTGAGTTAAAATAATTTTAGTAATAATCTAGGTCACTTAGGGTAAAAAAAACCCACCTAAGTACGGGTATTTTTTTTTTTTTTCTTCCAGTAATTTATTTTATTTCATTTAGTTAATTACGTTCATATTTTTGGGTTTAAAGTGACCTTGATTTAGAAATCTGTAATTTTGCATACACTTATGTTTATTTTATTTAAAAAAAAAGGTGCGATATTGTAAGCGGAAGTAAGTAAGTGAGATCACAATTGCACTGCACTTAACCAACTTTAAGTACTGCATGAGTTTAACAAATTCTTTTT